CACACAAGCACAGTAAATGGAACATTATACGAATAAAGAGTTCTTAAATTCTTGTATAAAGTTTCGATAAAACACTTGTTACTCACCTGACACGTGCGAATACTTGGATGTGTTGACCCCTGTCTCTCTCCCTTTTTCCACTTTTCGTATTATTCATATTTATTCTAACTTTTAAAGCGGACACTTCGTAAAGAAGAAAATCTTCCTTCCAAATAAAAGTAAATATCGCTACTTGTTGCGAGCTACGGTTACGTTACGTTGCGACTCAAACAAAGCTGTATTCAAACTGTTAGTAGCTTGTATTGCCAATAGGGAGCATTCAGCATTGCCGTTGTCATGACTCATGACTCATGAGTGCAGTGATGCTCGCTTGATGTAAGCAGAGAGGAAATGAGAGTGCTCACGGCCAGTGTGGCCAGGTTGAGGACGGGAGCCACCGAGAATCTGCCCCTCCACTTACGCACACTATCGCACTGTATCCGTGTGCTCCGAGCTCGGCTCAACTTCGGCTCAGTAGAGAGAGAAGGCGAAACATCAGTCCGTCGCTCTTGCTCCTGATGCGTTAAAATCCAAGCGGCACGCAGCCGTTAGTCGGCATCAGGAGCAAGAGCGACGGACTGATGTTTCGCCTTCTCTCTCTACTGAGCCGAAGTTGAGCCGAGCTCGGAGCACACGGATACAGTGCGATAGTGTGCGTAAGTGGAGGGGCAGATTCTCGGTGGCTCCCGTCCTCAACCTGGCCACACTGTTCTCGCATTCTTTGCTGTGCTCGGTTGGGAGAGAACGAGGTAAGCCATCGGTCGCCCAACTGAGAGGGAGAGTACGAAGCCTAGCTCTCGGACGCCCGATACAGCCAGGAGAGTACGGGGACTACCCTGGGTCGTTCCTTGGAGGAGAGTACGGCTGGAAATTCCGCCGGACGCCAAACCAGGAATAGAGTACAGGGGACGTCACCCGGACGCCTGAGAATGTATAGGTTAAGCGTTTGGGAGAGAACGGTCGGATTATCCACCGGTCGCCCAGTAGATATAGAAATACCTCATGGAGAGGAGAGAACGGTTGGAATAACCACCGGTCGCCCTCCAGGTGTAGTTAGCGTTAGAGAAGAGTACGGAGGTTCAACCTGGATCATTCTACGTAGGAAAGAACGGCTGGAGTATCCGCCGATCGCCTCGAGAATAGAGTACAGGAACCCTCCGGACGTCTCTAACTATATTTATCCGAAAGCGTGATGATTTTGTATGCATTCCCATGTGCCGTAAAAATGTGAAAATGAATAAATTATTATTTGTGTTTTTCCAGAACCTTTGATTCCTTAAAACTCCGAAATTCCCCTACAAATTAAAGATAAACAGATTCATATTTAATTGAAATTTGGATTTAAAGTATTAGAATGAAATATTTTCTCCAGTTGATGATTAAGACTGATTATCCTATAATTATGTAGAAAATAAAAATTTCTTATTTGCAATAGGAAAATGACATTCATGTATTCAGTTAATAATTAATCAAAAAATAATAATAATATAACTTTCCTTCTTCATCAATTAGGCTGGCTTCCATATCTCAAAGAAGGTTTTTGAATGTCTGGATGGCCTTCGAACCGATTTTTAAGCTAACAACTTGGGGCAGACAGCACGATCGTGCTCTGAATATTGTACACGGATTTGTGAACAAGGTAAGTAATAAGTCTACGTCAGACATGGGCAAATCATTTTTCCCCACATTAGTCGCTCTCCTCACTATTCGTAATAAACTTATTCGTATATGTAGATACGCGCCTGTACATTACATAGCGTCAAGCACCCTCACCATAGCAACCGTGGTTCCCGAGAGCCACTTTTGCCCATGCCTGGTCTAAATAATTGTATGATAATGTAACTGTAATGTGCTAGTTTCATACGTCATGCAATTACGTCAAAACTGTTGGAGTCATCAGAAAATTGTACTAAACATTTTTTGTAACTATTAATGTTACCTACAGTTTTTGTTAATAACATTTTCTTCTGAAACCAATAGTTAACGAGTTATTATCAAAAAAAGTATTACTTCACATCTAAATTCCAATACTAAGAGTTTCGTTCCCAATCTTTAATATTAACTCCAAAAGTATCTCAGTTATTAAAAAGTGCTACAGAACGTTTCGTTTTAGAAAGTAGCTGCTAATATTACCGTCACTTTTTATTAATAACATTTTTTTGTGTGTCCAATAGCTAACAATTCATTTTCCAGAAACTTGAACAATATCCAAAAATTATTATTATACTTCTCGTATTAAACATCGTTTTACACTACTTATAATAAGAATGTAACTGAAATTTCATGTAAATGATTATTAACAGATAATAGTTGAAAGAAAGTTGGAGTGGAAGTCGAAGAAAGCGGAGGTTGTGCAAGAGAAGATGCAGAAACGTCAGGCGCTGTTGGATTTACTGTTGGAAATGTCAAACGATGGGAAAACTCTGTCTGATAACGATATTAGAGACGAGGTGAACACATTCATGTTCGCGGGACATGACACGACGGCCACCAGCGTGTCCTGGGTACTTTACGCCCTCGGTCGACACCCCGAGTACCAAGTAAATAACATTAATTCTGTTTATTTTTATCCTTTCTCAATTTATTATATTTTTATGGTACTTCATTCCTTTGTATCTCTTCACTTATTCATTTTTGTTCGTTCCTCCATTCGTTAACTTCTCCACTTCTAAATTTCTTCGCTCCTGCGTTTCTTTACTCTTTCACTACTTCATTCTTTCACTTCTACAATTCTTCGTTTCTACGTTTAGTCATTTATTCACTATTGATGTGTAGTCGATAATTATTGTTGGTATAAGAACATGTGTGGAACTAGATGAATTGGCACGACGTACGATTGATGCGAATATACAGGGTGTCCCAGAAAAAGTAGAGCCGAAAATGGTAGATTGGGAGGGTCATACTGAACAACAATTTCTTTTGGCAAAATGCAGAATGGGGCTTGATTACCGAGTTATTGACGAAAAACACGGACCAATGAGAGCGCTCGGTTGGCGCGAGCCCTGACTCGGGAGCGTTGGCTCGTATCCGGCCGCCCGGCCTTTGATGCGTCTGAACAAGCGCTCCGCTCAGTACGAAGCGTTTTAAGGGGCCTATCCAGTGTGACCGCCCGAAATTTAGGTAACTTTGGAAATTTTTTTTAAAAGAAGTTTTCCATGTAATGTTTTTAAACTTTATGGATGTATTTGCCTATGATTGAAGTGTACGAATTTGTTTTTTTAGTACAAAAATAACGAATGGCGACCGAGTTATGCGCTATCTCCCGAGACGCCAAAAACAAATGCCTCCACTGCTGCAATGATACAGGTCGCTACGATGTCCGAAAAAAAAGAAAAATATCCTGTTAAACAACGATTTTTTCGTCGTTTTTTCGTTGCCAAAATTACAATTGTCATCTAATCAAGAATATCCTAGTTCATTTTACAATAAAGCATGTCCAAAACACTGGATTAAAATTTCAAGTCAATCGGACAATTGGTCTTTGTGTTAGAGCTGCAGCAAATTTGAAGAACACTGTTCGAGAAAAACGCGTTTAAAGTATTAACCATTACATTATCACTTATATTATACTAGCTGCAAACATCTCGCCGCCGCCTCTCTTTCTCGTAACACAAACACCCCCTCCCGCTCCCCCCATTCAGCAGCTCTACTGACTGATACTTTACGTGCATGTCTGGTTGTTCTCCCAATATTTGATTTTTTGGGTGGTATTTCAAATAATTTTCAGTACCTAATAGTTGGTGACAGATGAGGCGTGAAAGGATATTTTAGTTGTGTGTGATATAAATACCAATTTTCATGGCAATCGGTTGAACCAGAGATGAAGAGGGAGATTGCTCATTTATTTGTTAGAAAGTGGACACAATTCACTACCGCCTCTAGTGGCAATGTCCATTATTTGAGGGGAAGTTGACGTAGTTGGAGGGGATTGCGCATTACTCCCCTCAAGAAGTGGACACGCTGAAAAGAGTTGAAAATGCACGTATAAAGGCCTGTTCACATTACCGTAACCGTAGTGAGA